GACAAACAACTATTAACCAAGAATATTGTACCCAGCTAAACTCTCCTTCATAACAGAAGGTCAAATAAAAATCTTCCATAGCAAAGAAAAACTGAAACATAGTGTTTTGTACATCTGATTGTTACAATGGGTCAACTTGTCTCCTTATTTAAGCATTTTGTTTTTTCCCTTCCCCTCCCCAAATTGGAGAAGTGTATGTACAAGAGACAGGGCACCAACATCAAATACAGTGAAAAAAGCAACAAAATTGAACAGATAAAAACATGAAAGTTTCATATCATCTCAACATTTGTAGCCATTTGTTAACATCACTTTAACACATACGTTCTTAAAGATCAGATAATGTACTAAAGAAATTCAGTCATTATAAGACAGGCCAGCTTACAAACTCTAGCAAGTTGTATACCTTTTGCACAGCAATCTCCAAAAACAGATATGTAAAATATCTATCATAAAATCGTTGTAAATTATAAATGACAAAAAGCATTCAGCCAGCTCAAGTGGGTGGTGTCCTGGAAGCAAATGGTAAAAGCTAGAGTTAAGGTAATAGGAGCAAAAGTTGAGAGAGTTTTTTGTGCCTAGAAATATTCTAGAGGATAAGTTAAATTAAATAATTAGATAATGCATTTTTTCCATCCTCATAAATTCATATGACTTAAGGATCTGCTTTGCATTCAGATTTGTATTTAACCATACTTTTTCTTTTTTAAAATCTCAGCTTTTTAGAAAAAATAATCTCATTTGTAAATTTTGTCATTAAACAAGCATATATTTTGTATTATTGCTTCTTCTCTCATTGCTATCTCAAGGAGAAATGAGAAATCAAGGACAGTGTTAAGGTCAGCTGGTAGTGTGTGTATGTACATCTGTGTGTGTGTACATATACGTGCATATTTATGTGTCATGTGACATAATTGAAATTAGTATCAGGTATTTGATGGTTTAAAGTCAAAATGTAACATATTATTTTATATATTGAAAATTTAATAATAGATATGCTTAACAATGTAAATAAAATGTATGTGAAGTAAAAATCACTTTAATATTTTACTTTAATATTAGACACTATAAAATTCTTTCAGTGTAATTTTTCTAAATAAATTAATGTATATTATAACTTATTTTTGTAACTTTTAGCAACAGGTTAGCTGAAAAAAAATCTGTCAAATTTGGCAGTGGTTCAGAAAATATGTGAACCTGTCACTGTAAGTAGTCTCAAAGGGCGAAATGCATTACAGGAGCTAATTAACCTTAGAAAATAATTACACAAATATGCAAATGTTGTTTAGATAATTCCATGTGTTATCAGCTCAGGTAGTCCATCATAAATGCAGACCTTGCAGTGCCTAGGTAGTAGAATCTGGTGTAGCCGATAAGGCTTTGGTTTCTGCATCACTTCTGTTTAGCATTTAACGATTAATGAAGGTAAGTGTACACAAAATTCAACCTGTTCTCTGCATACTACAGAATTCCACAATAGAAATACCCTACACATTCTCCCACCAGCAAACTCTAATTAATAAGTTCACTCTTCTTTTCATGCACTTCATATATTTGCATTTTCTAAAATAATACAGAATGCATTCTAATTTGAAATTCAACTGGAATCCGGTAGAGTAGATTTAATGTGTTTACATTTCTGTAATTGAAGTGAATTAGAAAATCTTTCCTGTTGAAATCTTTTTAGTCTCAAAATACACCATTGGTAATATACTATCTGGATTATGACTCATAAATATGTAATGCCTGTGTACATATTGTGGTCTGCACATTGGAATGGCATTAAGTTGCTTCATGGCATCACCTTCTTGATACATAATTAAAACTACTGTATGTTCTACTTTTAACTGTTGTGGAAGTTTACTAACATTGGCAGAATTTGTTAAATTCTAAGGTGGATGGGGTTGAAGTCCCTCTAAGCATTGTAAATACTAAAAAAGCCTTAAATTTTTACTTTTCTTTTTTTTTTTTTGTCTTTTCTTTTTTGGTACTGGCGATCAAACCAAGAACATTGCACTTGATAGGCAAATGCTTTGCAACTGAGCTATATCCCATCCCCCAAAAAGCCTTAATTTGAAAAGCCTTAAGAAGTAGTCGTAAGAGAAACCAATTTTTTACATATGTCTAATGCTTATCTCCATATCTTATTTTTAATATAATATTTTGAATAGGAACTATTTCTTAATTTCTGTTACTAGTCTCTCAAAAGTGGAGTTCACATAGTACAAATTGCCTTCTTTAGATGATTGAGGACCAGTGCTGCTGATAATTATGCTGCTATGCATACTGTGCTGCCCTCAGCTTGCTTAGAGGCAACATGAGTAATCTCCAACTAGTGTACTAGATGGGCTTTTCTAATACGTGTACATTTTATTTGTGTTCTTGCCATCAAGCTCTCAAATGTTACTTCTTACTCTTAGACCTATTTGAAATAATTATTTTCACTTGTTGCTAGTAAATGTGCAGTTGACTCACACCAGATACTGGAATTGTTTAGCTAAGAATGTATAATGACCTTTGTTGGATACTAAGAAACTATGCATTACTGCAAAGTGGTATTTCTGACTTTGGGACTGTTACTTACGTTTATATTTTACAAATGTACTTTGTAGAAATGTTGGACAATTTAGAAAATTTAAATGAAGGTAAAGATAGAAAACACTAATAATCAAACCATTTATAGGCAGCACAGTTGCTTTTAAGTGATTTTGCTTCCTTCTTTTGATTTTTTTAATGGGTCCCAGGCTTGAACTCGGCCTGGTCACTGTCCCTAAGCTCCTTTTGCTCAAGGTTAGCACTCTACCACTTGAACTACACCACCACTTCCAGCTTTTTCTGTGATTAACTGGAGATAGGAATTTAAAGGACTTTCCTGCCTGGGCTGGCTTGAAACCTTGATCCTCAGATCTCAGCTTCCTGAGTAGCTAGGATTACAGGCATGACCTACTGGTGCCCAGCCTTTTAAATATTTTGAAGCTTGTGTGTGGGTGGGAGAGAAAGAGAGAGAGAGAGAGAGAGAGAGAGAGAGAGAGAGAGAGAGAGAGAGACAGAGGAGAGACTGTTGGGGGCTAGTAAAATGACTTAGTTTTACAGTTTTGAATGAGACTCGAAACTTTAGTTAATGAATGCCAAGGAACAAGAGTGGGTTTGTGTGTGTGTGTGTGTGTGTGTGTGTGTGTGTGTGTGTGTGTGTGTGTACTTGTTGCAGTTCTTTGTTTTTTCTTTCTTTCCTGTGTTTTGTTTTTTGGGTTTTTTTTTTTTTTTTTGGAATTCATGGAACAAGAGTGTTTTTTGTTTTGGTTTGGTTTTTTTGTATTTTTTGTGCGTACTCGTTGCAGTTCTTTCTTTTTTCTTTCTTTCTTTGTGGGCATTTTTTTTGGAATTCATTTTGAAAAGCATCATTTTATATAGTCATATGCACATTATTGACCGCATTCTCCCTCTCTTCATTATCACTTTATTTTTGACCCAACCTACTCCTTTTGAGTACCCGCTTCCTACTGTTTTATTTTGCCAAACTTTGCCTTTCTACGGAATTACACTATTTGAGTTTTCTCGAATCTACAGTAATTCAGCCAATACATTTTCATACACTTACATACCATCCAATATATCTACCTATAGGTTTATAAGCTAAATCTATTTTCCACACATAAGGGAAATGTACGTGTTTTGCCTCTCTGAGCCTGACTTCACTTAACATAATTTTTTTCCAGGTCTTTCCATTTCTTTACAAATGGCACAATATCATTCTATCTAATGGATGAGTGAAATTTCCTTTTGTATATATACTACATTTTCTTGATCCATTTGTCCATCCAGTGACATCTGGACTGATTGATATCTTTTTGGTTCTCATGAATAGTGCTGCAGTGAACATGGTCATACTTTTCTTGCCTATGTTCTGTTTCCTTAGATTGAAAATGATCCTAGAGTCTGCTCTCATTTCACCCTCTACCTTCATCTCTACAATTCCTATTTGTCTTCAATATTAAAGGAGGTATCACCTCCTCTCAGAAGTAGTATCATCCTCAAGGATAGATAATGTTCTTTTTCAGTATCTTGTACATGCTTTTTGTACATGTAGTAATCTACACTGAAGGATCTTTATGTTAATTGTTAGATCATCAATTTCTTGAAGCCAAGAGTTCTGTGTTCTGAGTTCAAGTACCCAGAACACACACACTCTCTCTCTCCCCTGTCTATCTCTCTCTCTTTCTCACACACACACACAAACACACACACGCACACAAAGAACAATGAAATTATCATAAAACTTTCTGAATTTAATATGTATTAAGATTTAGCATGTTAGGAGAAATATAAAAACCCCTAGGAGATCTATCTGATCTATCTATGTTTATAGATAGATTACTATATCTATAGATAAAATATCTATATTTACAGATAGATACCATATATATCTTATATGTACCATATAATATATGTATATGGTATATATCATATATGTGATATATATCGTATACATGTGATAAATATCAGGGAGTGGATTGCTTTTTTCAACCTCTAGTACTGGGACTTGAAGTCAGGGACTCACTAGCCCTCTATGTTTGAGACATATCTCATTTTCAGCTTTTTGATGCTTAGTTGGAAATAAGAGTCTTGCAGATTTGTTTCCCCAGCCTGGTTCCAATTTTCAGATCTCAGCCTTCTAAGTAGCTAAGATTATAAGCATGAGCCACCATGAGCACCTTGAGCATAAGTATTTTTACGATCTCAGTTATACCTAGATTATTTGTCTTTAAAAAATGTTCATTTTAAATAATTTGTTTCAGGTGATTATAGTAGAAATTAAGCCTAGCAGTAATTTGCTAATAGTTTTAATACTAATTTATTCTCAATGTCTCAAAATAGTTCTTTGTATCAATATTGCTTTGACTTCATTCTAACAATCTTATTGTATAAAAGTAATACATAATTTAACTGTTGGTTGTTATGATAATAATTAGATATAGTATGTCATATATAATTTTTTTTAGGAAAATGGTTCTCCTGAAGAACATGCAATCTATGTTTGGGACCATTTCATAGCCCAGTCTGCAGCTGAGAATGTATTTTTTGTTGCTCACAGCTATGGAGGACTTGCTTTTGTGGAACTGGTAAGTGTACATTTCACACTGTTTTTAATCCCCAATCACATTACAAGTTGATTTCCTCTATTTCCCTTGGCTTGATATTATTACTTTATTTCATAAAGAATGGAGGAAACATTTTGAGTAAATAATTTTATGATTGTGAAAAATAGTATACTAATGTATTTTAGAATAATAGCTTTTTCAAAAAAAAAATAAAAACACCAAAATAACAGATAATTTGGCTAATAAAGGAATAGTTTTGAAAAGAAGTAAAAATGGCTTTAAGATACTTGGAGAAATGTTCAATGTCAGCAACTAACTCCCTTTACCATAAAGAAAATGCAAGTGAAAACTACACTGAGATTCCATCTCACCATGATCAAAATGGTACACACCAAGATAATAAAGAACAAAAATGTGTTGGTAAGAATATGAGGAAAAAGGAACACTCCTACACTGTTGGCAGGAATGAAAGCTACTGCCACTACTATGAAATAAATATGGAGATTCATCAAAAAGCAAAAAAATAGACCTTCCTTTTGACCCTGCTATGCCACTCATGAACATATATTGGAAAGAGTATAAATTGACATACAAAGTAAGCCCTGATCACCTGTGTTTTATTGCATCACTATTCAAAATAAACAAATTGTAGAATCAACCAGATGCCCAGCAACTACTTAATGAATAAGGAAAATATGATATAGATGGCTAATAGAGAGATGTATTTACTATTCAGTTATAAAGAACAATGAAATTATGACATTTACAGGAAAATGGATAGAACTAGAAATCATCCTGCCGAGTGAAATAAACCAAGCTCAAAAAGCCAAATATCACATGATTTTGCACACATGAAAATCTAGACCTGAAGTGATGATGATGATGATGATGATAATGAGACATACATGTAAAAGGGAACATAGGAGGAATCCGGAGGAGGGAAAACAGAAAGGGGGATGGCGATGGTAATAGGAAGTGAAGAGCATGAAAATACTGTGTGTGTGTATGTGTGTGTGTGTGTGTGTGTGTGTGTGTGTGTGTGTGTGTGTGTGTGAATTAAATCTACCAAATCTGTTTGCAAAAGGAGGGAGATGAAAAGAGGTTAAGGGTATATAATACAGGAGGTGGAAATGTTCAAGATACACTAGTGGTGGAAATGTTCAAGATACACTATATGTGCATCTAAAGAATTATCATAATGAACCTAATACAAATAAAAATTGGGGAAAATGAGTATTTAGCTTTATTGCTCTGAAAGCTAAATTAGGTAACAATTTCACACAGATTTATAGTATGTGATACCATTCTGATGATTGTTATAATCATTCTGAAGCTAAAACATTATTTCTGGCAAATATTGACATTTATTTGAATACAGAAAAAATTCTGACATTTCACATATTTTTTGATTAGGATGAATCATGAAAAATACAACATGGTTTTAATACTATATGTATGCTTATGCTCATGTATGAGAAAAATTATGTATTTATCCTCTTTCTATATATTGATATGCAATTGGTAGCTCTATATGCATTTTTCTATAGAATACAATATAGCTCATTGGACTGAACTGATAATTTAATTGATTGCAAAAAAGAAGGAATAGTAACCAAGCTTTTCAATGCTAACCAGAAGTCTTTTGTCTGTTCCTTTTTTATGTATTTTTTTAGATTTCTATATTATCAACTATTGTTTCTGTACATTTCATATTTTCATTTCCTGTTTTATGTGTACACCATGGACACTTTTGTGGGTCGTAAAGAATTTGAACATTTGGGATTAGTTTAATAATTTTTAACTGACTTTACTATTTAGTACTTGATATTTGATTAGATTTCATGTAATTAGTACCGAAACTACAAGAAAAGTATTAATTTGTTTCTAACTTCAAGGCATTAATTGGCCATGAAATTATTTTTATTTCAATCTGATTTTTGAGTTAAAATTATATGTACATTATAGAAAATAATTATCAATATTTCTGAGTTCTGTCCATAATATATGCAATATTACAAGTAGCACAATCTTTTGCCATAATTCACTAAAAATGCACGAATAAATAACCTATGCTTCCCTGTCTGTAATTTATTATGCCATGAGAAGGCACCATTGCTCTAATATAATGATTACTTTGATAAAAGAGCATTTAATCATTTCAATTTCAAATAGATTAAAGTGGACATTGAATTAGACACAGCATTGGTTGTCTAGTTTTTTTTTTCCCCTAAACTTTAGTATGTGTTTCTGTATGTCATGGAAGTTAAATATATTTCCATGGGCTTTTCAACTTCTTGTATGCTATTGATTATTCACATGATGTAGATATAAAGATGATGGTGACACCCAAGAACGTTTCAGTAAATAAGTTGCCATTTACTTCTTTTTTAAAATATTTTTATTGTAAAGATACTCTACAGAGGGGTTACAGTTATATGAGTAAAGTAATGAGTACATTTCCTATCGAGCATTTGTTACCCCCTCCTTTGTTTTTCCCCTACTCCCTTCCCTCTTCACCTTCCCAACTCTTCTCCACCTCACCCTCCTTCCTCCCCCAAATTGTAAAGTTCATTTTCCACATAGTGTCTTGTACATCCTTTTTGTTACAATGGGTCAACCTGTAACTTTGTTTCAGCATTTTGTTATTTTCCTTCCACTCCCCAAATTAGAAAAAATATATATACAAGATGCAGGGCACCAGAATCAAGCTAAGATATGGAACCAACAAAGATGCCAGACCCAAAGAAACATAGGTTCCATGGTTTCCCTTATTTGCAATAACTAGTATACATCTAGGATAGTCTTACCAGATGAAAAGAAAAGGTCAAAAGCTATGTACATATGACCGTATAAGATGATGCTAAGCAAAATGAACCCCAAGATAGGGACACAAGAGGTTTTTTCTCTGTTGCTGTTGTTTTTAATGTATTATGTGATTTGTTTGCTTCTTTTGTATGTTCTTCGCCCATGGTATAACCCTGTTGTCACTGTATTTGATTCTGGTGCCCTGCATCTTGTCACTTACTTCTTATGTTTCTTTCCATTTTTAGATCATTTTAAAACACTTTTAACTCTGTTAAATTTCTGTATTTTGACACATATAATAGATATGTTATGTAATCATTTAATCACAATCAAAAAAAAAAGAACCTCGGGGAAGGGAGGGAGGGAGGGGATGGTAGGGGGAAAACAATGGAGGGGGGTAACAATGTTCAAGAGGAAGTGTACTCATTACCTCACTCATGTAACTGTAACCCTCTGTATAGTAGCTTTACAATAAAATAAAATTTAAAAAAAAAAAAATAAAAAAAAAATAAAAACAAAAAAAAAAAAATAATAGATATGTTAAGCTAGTTCTTGAATACTTGTTCCATGTATTTTTAAAATTACAAATGTTTCTCAAATAATTTTTAACCACTATATATACAACTATATAAATTTATTCTTATAGTTATATATAATTTTTTTCTTTGTAGGCCAGTAAATCACTTAAAACTTTATTAATTTTTTACTTACAGAGTGATTTAAAATGACTAAAGGCTTAAACTATTTTAGCTAAACAGACACGACTTTTTTTTTCTTTAAGAGAGATTGTACGTTTTTGTACATCAAATTTGGAAACCAGTGTATTTTAGATCATTTTAAAAATGACAGATGACCAGTGCATCAGTCCTGTTTTGCCTGTCCTTCTTGTCACACACTGGTGGATATTTCTCCACTTTTGTTCCACTTTAATATAAAGCACACAGATGTTTCAGAACAAGTCTTGACTTCTGACCTTGAGGCTATTAGGGTCAGGGTCCTCAGGGCCTGTGAAATCATCACTAGCTGAGCTAAAGTTTTTCTCCATCACAGGAAGTAACCAGTAAGTAAGAAGTTAAAAAGGAGCTTTGTCAGAGAGACAAGATGGTCTCAGTAAGGGTCAGCTTCTGTAGTCTGCTGTCTCTGCAGGAGGCACATGCATGGGAGGAGGAATATAATATAACCACTGGCACATCACATACCTGTCAGGCAACACTTGGGCTGAGAAGTCTATTTAATGTAATATACCTTGTTTAGCTTTTTAAAAAAATATTAATGGTGATTATCTCAACTTCATATATTTGAAGGCATAGACTGCAGTATGTAATGCAGGAATATAGCAGTGGCAAACCGAAAAATAAGTGATGCTGACTTAATAAAGTAGACTCCCCAAGACATCACCAGTGTGCTAGGATAAGTTTTGTATTTACAAATTTAGATTCATATATTTAACTTCATTACGTTTCTGATGATTTCTCAATTATTTCTTAATGCATCATTGTAGAAGGAAAACAAAGGCTCAAATTTTTCAAACCTTTTATTTTTGCCTAAATAATATTCTTTCCTATTTCTACTAATATTCTCAAGAGAAAAGTTACAGTGTTGACACATACTCGTTCTTGATGTATTTCAGTGTAAGTGTGACATATGAAATTATTTTATATGGTTTCAAAATTTTCATATTAGCTGTACAAGGAAGTAAATATAAATATTAATTTATTATTCTTAAATTATGTGTGGTTTTAGTGCAGTAGTCCATTATGTACAGCATACATTAAAACTCCTAGATTTCAGTAAAGCTAAATTTTTTAAGCATTTTACTCTTAACGAAATACTCTGCACAACTCTTTTGCTTTCTTCTTACATTTGCTTTCTTCTTGTAGCGTTATGCTTGAATTCATGGAAATCACTTTTATATCACTGTACCATTGTCATATAAGTTTACATTCTTTGGGTCATGAATATCAATAAAATTTATTTTAAATACAAGCTGTGGCAAGTAAAGTTTCACCAATAAACACACATACAGTGCTTCTTGTTTAAATAGCAGGTACCAGTGAGAACCTGTATCTTGCCATTTACTAAATTAAAACTATGTAGAATTGTAGTTTAAAATTAAATAGTTTACTATTGGATATCTGGAGATGAGTTCATTTTAAATTTAGAACACATTGTGTGGAGGTTTCATGTTTTGTTAACTGATGTTTTTTTTTAAACTA